AGTATTTGAAATAAAAGTAAAAGAAAAATTTGAATTTCATACCTTGAAGTTCCACATAGCCACACTTTTTCAATATCGAAGTCTTGGCTGGAAAACTCCAGGCATCATCCAGTAAGCCTTCCCATTAGTTTTTATTTATTTCAGACATACTTTTTATTTTCTGTAAATTTCCAAGAACTTATTTTGTGTTAAAAATTGTAATAAAGTTACTTCAAAAGTTCCCTAAATAGTTTCTATTTCTTTTGGCAGTAAAAAAAAAAATCCTTGGTTGTATTTAGACATTGTTTTAATTTTCCAGCAATATTTTGTGCCCTATGTAAGTGGAATTCAAGTATTTGAAATAAAAGTAAAAGAAAAATTTGAATTTCATACCTTGAAGTTCCGCATAGCCACACTTTTTCAATAACGAAGTTATAGAAGCCTTGGTAAAGACCTCAAATAAGGACATAGTGGTCATGTTCTTTTATATTATTTGAGTCATGAATTGATCCCAGCACAGAGACAAAAAATTAACCAATTTGTTGAGATCCAGATTGTGTATATGCAGCGTTCCTAGGAAACAACAGGACAAACCTTTTAACCATGGGTCACTACTAAGGAAGGGTCCAATCCTATATATAATTGCCACAACCCCCACTGGAGGAGTTTGGAGGACTTACAACAACACTGATTTGTTGGGGTTATGTGGCCATTGGAAGGCCTAATGAGAGCATTAAGTGAAACTATTCACAATGAAAATGTTGGCTCCAGTGGGAGTATGGTCCATATTGGATTGAGGTATTATTAACGCCGAGACTCACCTGAGCTTTGACTGGCTACGGCTCAGGGTAATATCTAAAACCTAGAGCCTTGGGCATTTGTGCAGAACCTATAAGGGTTTCGATGTGGGGTTATCCCTTGATGAGGTCGGAGTTGTGCACAAAGTGGTTGGCCAGGAGACTGGATGTGACCCCTGTGTGTGATGGTTGGCCGGAGAGGACATGGGGCTATATCCTTATCATTACCATCACACGGCATGTACACCAAATAATCTTTTGGGAAGCGGCCTCTGGATAAGGGTGTGTATTATGTACATGTGCTAAAGAGATGACTCCCTGCAACACTGGACTATGTTGGAAGGATCGATGGAGCATAGTGCTGAAATGGGGCATGGACTTGCCCTCAAGGATGGACATGTAATCCATGGATTAGGATTGTGGCTCATTCATTTATTGGCTAACTTTGATAGTCCAATCATGAACCCCTATGAAAGGTTGTGGGTCATAGGAATTATTGGGCCAGTTTGAGATAGTGCAGAGAAATGAGATTTTCTAGGAAGAGTCCCCAATATAACATAGACAATTAAATTCCAATCAAATATTCTTAAATATGTTTAATTATATCTTAAATAATAAAAATGAACTTTTTGACCTCTTTGGATATTTTATTTTATTGAAAATGGATTTTTAACAGGGAAAATATATTTTTTGAATTCATTTTAATCAAAGACGAAAATAAAATACTTAATGACTTTATAAAATTTGTATTAATATCCTAAGATATTATTAGTGTGTTGGGGGACCATAGGGGTTCATTTGGGCCTGCCACATGTGGGGGCATGGGGCCTACAAGGGCCTCACATGAATGGGACACCTCACTTTCTCCTCTCTTTCCTATTCTAGTGGCTTGTAAAAGAAGCCATGCACTTGTTTGAAAAATAAAGAAAAGTGTTATGTAGATATTTTGATTGATTTCAAATAAGAAAGTGCAGAGATTAATTGAAATTGATTTGCCAAAAGATAGTGTTTTTCTCTACACAATTTTTTATGGGAATAGAGTTATAGAAACTAAAGGATAATGGTTCTATCTCATTCATTTTAATCATGATGGATTGTATAAGGAATGAATAGATGAGATCTCTTCACCCCACAGGTCTCCATGATCAAATGTCAAGATTGAGTCTCATTTATACTCTATGGGATCTTCTCCTACACCTGTGAACTTAGTAGCCTTTCTCTCTATCTCCCTCTTCTCTAAAACCCTAGGAAAGGTACACCCCTCTCTATCTCTCTCTCTTTCTCTCTCATCTTAGTTAGGGTTTTAACTTGCAGAAGGTAGAACCCAAAAGGAGGCATGCCCTAGCCCAAGTGCATTAAATTGTGCCTTTGTGTTGAGCCTTGGTCAAACCCTATCCAATGTCATGATCTCAAGTGGTTTAGCCTAGACTTCCCAAGTTATGAGACAAGTTTAGATCGAAATCCCGTGGGCCTTTGCTGGAGGAGACCCGGTGTGGGGTGTACGAAGTCCTTAAGGGTAACCTGAAAAAAGGTATGCAGTATTGCTTTATTTCATGTTTTCTTGATTTTATTCTAAGTGTTATGTAATCAGATCCTTGGCATTCTTTGTGTTCTTATTGATTCATATATTGTATTTGGATGCTTATAAGTAATCCGGGTGGTGAAATAAAGAAAAAAAAAGGAAAAATTTTACCGATATACTTGCCTGGGTTACACAATCTTCCTTTCATGATTCATCACATAGATCCCCCACATTGTCAATAAAATTCTTAATCAAGTTCGGGGAACACCATTTATGGGACAACTACATAATCAATGTTAGTCAAACCTTCAGAGCTTTTCCTTGGCAAATCAACCTTGTCAGGAAGAAAATCACTTTTAATGCTACATCCAAATTTTAGAAAATATTTTCACCTAGGTGAAACATCCCACCCAAGCACATCAGAAACCCACATCTCACTCTTACCATGGATACATGACATACTCCCCAACATGTTTAAGTGATCTCATGAAATGTTTAAGGCATTAATGGTTATATCATCTCCAGATATGGGATGCCAAGAGATATGAAATTTGTGGATATCTAAACTCGAGACGGAGATACACTCAGCAAAGAGAATATACAGCTTCAGGCTCAGCACTTACTCCATGAAAACAAAGGAAGAATCCTTGCAGGATGGCCTCATCCACTGATACTAGGATTCCAATCAACAAATTTCTACTCTCTCATGCCTTGTGGAAAGATAAATTCTTGCAGGATGGCCTCATCCACTGATACTAGGATTCCAAGCAACAAATTTCTACTCACTCATGCCTTATGGAAAGATAGATTATAAACTTTTCTTCCAGAGATCGGGATACATTTACATAAGGCACGCTTTGTATATCAACAAGAATATCATGTAGGGCCCATTGAAGTTGACTGGGAGTGCACTTCAAACATCCAAGTTTTTCATCAAGCATTAGAGGCCTTATCTAGCATCCAATTTTGAAGCAAAACATTACAACCTTGCCTTTTATCTCCCTTAATATTAAACCCAGCTCAGATACCTCTGTTCCTGAACATAACTACATGGCTCTAGCTGAAAACATATCCTACATTCAGCAGTTCTTGGCACAATATATCAAGAAAATCAGACTGCTAAAAGGAGTTTGGGATTTTGTGTCAAGGCATAACCCACTTCATGTACATATAAATGATTAATGTCAACGAAGAGAAATATGAGAAAAACCCCAATTGCTTTCTTGGAGATTAGGTTTCTCTTCGGCAGCCTTTTATTACTTTCATGCATTTAGTTATACATAGAGAGGGTATGGCCTTTAGAGCCACACAAACCAAACATGACCAGCCATATTTTACAAACTATTGAGAAAATATAAAATAAGAAAACTCCATGGTTTCCCAACTCCCACAGCATGAACGTCAAGTAAGGGAAAACAGGGTGTACCCTGTTATGGTTAATCCTTGAAGAACTCAACATTTTTCTGCCACACATTGTAAAAAGTGGAATACAATATCTAATAAGTTACGGCATATTGGGAACATGCTGAGAAAATCCAAAACTTGAGAAGATACGCATACTTTATTAGAAAAGTGAGCAAATAATGATGAACCACGAGTAGATGGTGAACTATATATATATATATATATATGGAAGAGACTACAAAATGCCTATGGGCAAAAATGAACAGTATTTTTGCCCATAGGCTTGGCGCCGTCCAATTTTTTCGGACAGCATGGATTAAAGACTATCACGGACATACAATGTCCATGGCGGTCCATCACGGATATAGCATGTCCGTGATGGGATTTTTTCATGTAAACTTGACGGAAAAAATATACGGGTACCGCCACGGCTCCCTTGGGTCCGTGGCGTTTTAGGCAAAACCGTGTGACGGTGGCAAAACACTGTAGCAATTGGCCTA